TTCTAGTCATTAGAAGAATTCAAATAATTGCCATAATGCAGATCCTAGGAGTTCAAATTAGCTACTGAATGAAGAATCAGACAAACCTTGACTGGGGTTGTCCTGCAAAGAGACAACAAAACGAGACTTTTTCTTCAGTCCCTCAAGGAATCCCACAATGAGGTCTCGGATGTCCTCAGCATTTGATGAGGTGAATGTAAATTCATCGCCCTTGACTGTTAACAGAGTGAAACTCTGACCATGAAGTTTACCCGTTCTGAAAAATCAAGCAGAAATCATTAAGAACTTACATGGCATAATTGCTGCTAGAATTTAAACCTCCGGGCTGTATCCAGATAAATCCTTAAAATTTAAAAAAAAGTTTCAGGCATATTGGAGGCATGTTATGGCAAAATGGCTAAGTTGTCACACAGGCCAGCCTTGCGTAAACAACCTATAGGATATGAGATCTCAAAAAATGGCCTAAAAATCGAATTACTTTTCTTCTTCAACAGCTAAATATCTAATTAACCGTCTCACGAAATCTTAGTTCCGGAAATGGTCTACAAACCTGTTATTTCATGTGTTTTTGATAGTCTATGCAAATCTATATAAAATTCACTCTATATTACCTGCTACTAGAAACCTGTGTTATCTCAGGGAAAGACAGCTCCAGTAACACCTGTTCCAGATCATCCACCACATACACCCCTGTCCAGTTAACTGCAACGATCACATCATTCTTTGGCAGACTTGGTCCAGAGAATTTATAGGCTTCATAGAATCTTGAAAATAGGAGCGGCCATTTGAAGCGAGCATAGTCAACGACATCTTCCTTTACACGCATTCCCTGGACATTATCCCGCACCTGTCTCTTATACACATCTAGATGTGTATAAGAGACAGTACCTATGCCTACAGCAACTGTCGGGGATATAGTAAAACCAAAATAGTTTCATCCATGCCGACATTCCGGTCGGTTAGCGTGAGCCCTGACTGAACTCTGCAGAAACTTCACAACAATCTTCGCATCGCGATGTAAAACGAAATGTCGGAAAACTTTTCTTTGACGCATGCGCATTTGCATAAATGTCTACACACACACATACACACTACACACAATAAAAAACATAGGAAATAGCAAGAGTGATTACAATAGTTCCTATTGCATTACATGCATAGGAACTAAAAAGGATGCAATGGATAACTTTCATTTTGGGTGGTCATAAATTCATTGTCACAAGAGGATTCAAGCAAACCAGGCAACAGATAAAAGCTCTAAGTTATTACATTTTGCACCATAAAATTATCACAAATTGGTACTGCATAATGTTAATTGTTTTGATTATGCACTGTAGGGAAATAACAGAATGGTATTTAAAACTTGGTAGACTATTGCAAAGGAAGTGAAATGTAAACATAGAAAGCCAAAATTAAGCTGGAAAGGGATCATAGTAATATGATACAGAGCCATAAATTAGGCCTAGCCAATACACAGCATATGAATGCACAATGTGAATCTAAAGATGTTTACTGATGATACAAAGGTATTTACCGGCCCTATGAGTGGTTAATGATTCAGAAACTTCACAACAAAATCTGGATAGTCTTAGCAAATGGTCTGTTGTCTGGCAATTTAATATATATAAATATGGTGTAATTCACTGTGGCACGCAGCATGATAACTGTCACCTACCTACAGCATGAGGACTGGGGAACAGACAAAATTTTATTGTTGGAAATTAAGAAAAAAAAACCGGCCTTATATGGGTGGTTAATGATTGAGAAACTTCACAAAAAATTCTGGATAGTCTTAGCAAATGGTCCGTTGTCTGGCAATTTAATATATATATATATACATATATATATATATATATATATATATGGTGTAATTCACTGTGGCACGCAGTATGATAACTGTTACCTACCTACAGTATGAGGAGTGGGAAACAGACAACAGACAAAATTTAATTGTTGGAAATTAAAAAAAAAACATTTGCATGATCTTCGATCATAGCTTGAAGTTTTAGTTAAAATGTAGGAGTAGCTGTCAATTATGCAAAAAGGAATGTTGATCTCATCAAATTATATTTTTGAAGAAATGTTCACACCTCTTTCCTAAGCACTTGTAAGAATATACAAACTGTGTTTGGAGCCAATTTTGGAGAATTGAAAAATTATTTCATCTAGTACCCAGCTTATTTATGAAACCCAACATACAAAGTTAAGTTTGCCAACTTTTGCCTTTCGACGTCTACCTGTGGACATTTTACAAGCTTTCAAGATTATGCACGGTCTCGATCATATACTATACAATCATTCACTGATCTCCGTGAAGGAATCAAGTATAAACCTACGAAGTCACAATGTAATGATTCAGAAAAAAATATGCCGTAACACACGAGAATAATGTTTTACAAACAGAGTAAATACATGGAATATTCTTCAAAATTCGGCTGTAAATGCTCCCACTATTAATAACTTCAGGACAGACGTCGATGCCTTCCTAATGAAGAAGTATTGCAAATTCACATAAAACCCTTCTTACAAGTTCCAGTAAGAATTTTTCCTTAACCAATATTTTTTTAAATAATGAATTTAAGCCTATGCAATTGTATTTAATAAGTTATGATGGGCAAAAAAGGACTTATATTAGAGCCCGACAAGACACGTGTGAATACAAGACAGGTGAATAAGTTTGTTGTATAGAAATGAATAAAATTAAGAGATGAATTGTATACAATACTTCGCCATTCCAGACAACTTTGAATTATGTAATTTTGCATGCTTTGATATTCAATGTAGCTTACCCTTATATTTTCAGTTGGAAGGTGAATTACTTATCCCGTTCAGAATGTTCGTCTCAAGTATAGAGTCTGGAAGTGTCACTACAGAAATGGAGCTGTATTTTACAGACCAACTTCAAAATGTATCAGCTATTAATGTGTTGATAAACGACTCTTTATTATCATTACCAGAATACGAAACTGACCCTAGCAGTATTGTTGTCATGAGTATATGTACGTTTATTTTCATGAGATGATTAATTCGAGTGCATATTTTGTCAGTCACATTTTAGTAGTCAAATAATGATATAAATCTTACTGTTTTTTATTTATTCACCTATTTTCTAATATTATTTCTATAGCGATCTGTGTTGGAGAGGATGTGTTCCAAGACGGAATTCTGTATAGTTTCACAGATACTTTGCTTGGTACAACTGCAGAATCTATGCAAACTTGCCCTCTCTTCTCAGACCAAGGTTTGTGATAAATCTTAGCTATTCTTAGGTCTTCAATGACTAGAAACTAATTCCCTAGAGCGAGTGATTTTCGAGCCTGGAATCATACAGTTTTACAGACTTTAGTGGGTCTTATTCTACGCATTCCTACAAAAAAGTAAGAACAATTCTAAAATTGTATTCCGTTGCAGAACAACCCTGTTTTATTGCTATTTTGAAAAATTAAGATTTGATAAAATTACAACAAAGTGACATCGACGATGGCAAATAGTTAACAATGCTGACAACCATGATGGTTAACATAAAAATAATCAGTACTAGCAAAAATTGAGGTAATCCATGCGATAATTATGGTATTTTCTGAAGACAATTCTATAAGAAACAACTGCTTAACACGTCTAAGTGGGGTCTTTAATTTAGGGTAAACAAAATAAATATATTGTATTTAATTTATATTTGCCCTGTTTGCAGGATTTATTGATTACTTGCTTTAGACAGTAAATTTTGTATTTTATAGGTATTACAGTTAGTTTGGCAACACGTAACTGTGGAGGAGATTTTGTATCAGGAGCTAGATGGAGTCAAATTAAACCTTTGGACTGTGGCATGGGAAACATATCAAGACAAATTCAAAATATAAATGAAGTAATAAACTTACAATTTATATTCGATAAGAAAGTTTTGGAAAGTAATAATATTTTATTTGAATAAATATTTAGAAAATTTCAATCCACCGCACGTAAGCGATACATGATATATACTTGTAATGTTTCAATTACAACGACTTTACACTATTCTAGGTAGAGGTTACTGAAAACAATGTTGCAGCTGTCGCCGATGCACTTGCAATTACTACTACTGCTACTAATCTGGATAAAGATTCCATTATGATTGCATCGGACATTTTAGAAGATATCGTTGCACTTAAAATCTCAGACGAATCGGTAACATTCTTTTTATTGAACTAAAATAATTTATTCAACGAAACATTTCAACAGTATCTGTAATTTTTAATATACAGCCGTTTAGTTGGTTGCTGCTACTTAAGGTTTCTAGCTTTACTGTTAAAAAATGTGCGACACTTTAGCTACATTTTACATTGACTATTTATTTTTTTCTTTTAGTTATAATTGATATAATCACGCCATAATAACTTTCCGCTTACATTGTCGCATCTGACTTAGGAAAGTGTTAATTGAATTATATATGCAATAGTGGTACACATATTTGTGCCTACAATGGATTGGGAGTTTACATATACCGAATGAAATATAATTTCAAATTTTAAATTACAGTTGATCAGAATGTTAGCCGTTCTAATATAATTGCTTTTTCAGGCTCTATCGTCTCTAGATTTCAGTAAATTGTCGGGTTGGAGAAGCGCTCTCCTAGGTTGAGGTGGTGGTCTTGGGTTTAATGGGTTCTCAAATAAATGATATACATCTTATACTTTCTGACTTACATTTTCTAATGTATACATTGATATTTTAATAAGCTAACATCTATGCTCGTAATGATGTCTGCATACTGTATTTTAATAGACTCACATTTTCTGACTACATAGTAAACGAGTAAAATACACTTTATTTGGTAGACACATTTGTACGTATTGTCCCGGTTGTGTATGTCCTTAGGAAGGATTAAGATATTTCGAATAGTTCACTGATGTGTATTAGCTGTGCCTCTATGGTGTCGTCTAAAATCTCCTCGTGCCTTCTAATTTTATATACTCGAGTATGTAATCATTATGAGGGAGAATTCATTTATAATGGATTTGTCAATATATTTTGTGTAATTTCAATTTTTGGCATCTTTTGTAACAACATTATCTACACAGTTGAGCAAGGTTCAGACCACATCTACCTAGTGTACAATTGTGTGTTGTCATCTACAAGTTTCGTAACGTTATATTCAACATCTAGTGCTGTCAAGTCCTAAAGAATAACAGAAATGTAAATCTCTAAAATTCAGTAATTAGAAGCCGTTACAGGTTATAACGATTCTAAAAAGGCTTTGCTTTATAGCTTAACTGGGACCTTAATTTTAAGAGGAAAAACCTGCAAAATGTTTTCCTAAATGTATAATTATAAAGAGCCAGCAAACCGTACCTATTTCACTGTTATCTTATCAAGAATAGTGCATATCTGGAAAAATTAGTTTAATAATTGTGACCCAAGCTCACAAAAGGGCTGTAAACTCGCACTGCACTGTATTGAGAAACAAGCCTCAATACATAGAATAGGGCGTAGAACGTGAATTGTGTGTGAATTGGGTTTTGTTTAATAAATAAAGTATAACAAATAATCTTACTATTCATGAAATTCCAACTGTAAGAGAAAAAATTTAGCCAATTTCGGATGGGAGGTAGTGACAAATGAATAGAAACCTGCCGTAAACAAAAGCATTTCTCTCAAAACTTGATTTAAGAAAGTTGATAAGATGACAATTATTCAAACGGTCATAGCTTTGCTTCCAGACACCCGATTGAGTTCATTTAACTGTCATTTTAAAGTAAATGACATGATCTATGAAAATGAAAAACTCATTTTGACCAGAGGACGATTTTACAGCCCTTTTGTGAGCTTGGGTCGAATTACACCTAGTCGATAATATTCTTTCATTCAAAAAACTACTCACAACCATGTTCACAAAAAAATTGTAAAAATACACGCTAAAAACTAAACACAAGAAGTTTTACAGACAATAATATTTTTCTAAACACTTTTTTTTTAGTTTAATATGAACCGAATATTTTATTTATCTTAGTATTAGACCTGATATTACCATTAATATTGATAACAGGTGGTCACAATATTTATTTCATTTATAAGCCATTTTACTCGCATAGCGTGAGCCACTTTACAACCGTCAGCAGTGCACGCAGTGACGTAACGCTATGCGCTCTCATGCGGCGGTTTACAGGGCTCCCGAATTCTACCCATTGTTTCTCGATCTAGCACCCTGACCGAAAAGGACTTTGTTGATAAATAACACCATAAATAAATGTCTCTGAAATCGACTGTAGGGCATATACCATATTATAACGATTAAAGGGGCGGGCCCCGTGTGCCCGACAGCCCCCCCCCTCCCCCAGTCGGCCAGTGGACCCTACCAAATTTGTCAATTTTAAGTCTGTGAGTGAAATTTCTGGCCATCTAGACGTGCCATAATAATACATTTTCTTATCTCTCAGCCCCACAAGGGCAACAGCATAATATGTCTGAAATCGATTGTAGGACATATCACATTATATCCAGTGGCCGATTAAAAAATGGGGAGAGGAAAAAGCCCAGGGTCCCACTAAATTTTTCAAAATATTTTTTAACTGGAAATAAAAAAAAAAAATTATGTTTATGCCCGTACCATTTACGGCCAACTAAAGGTGCCATATTCATAAATTTTCTTACCTTAACCCTAACCATGGTGGGTCTGAGGTGGTATAGACTCTCTACATGTGAAGTCCCTCCTTGGCCTAAATTTCCTGGATCATTTATTCGTCGTTAAAATCATTAGGAATAACAATGCATATCTAAAATCCCACGGTGGGATTGGTGACCGGGAACCCAAAAGTTCCCCCAGTTTTAGAAATACACAGGGCCTCCGACCCCATCATTATGCCATTGAGTGCACGCTGGACCAACCATTCATGTCCTGCCGAAAACTGTCAGCATGTGGTTTGAACTCCCGACAGCAAGGATCAGAACCTGAATGGAAATCGCTGCACCAAACCTGTTACGCTAATGTTTAAATTGTCATATATCGTTTCATGTATTTTACAATCTATTTTATTGTCTAATTTATTCATATTTGGAACTAAATGTTTTTATTTTTTTTAAATCATCATCATTTTAATTTTGTTTGCTATTTTCTTGTTTTGGTTATCACTGACACTGACGCTGCAGCCGCTAATGTATGTATGTATGTATGTATATATGTATATATGTATGTATGTATATATGTATATATGTATGTATGTATATATGTATATATGTATATATATATGTATATATGTATATGTATATATATGTATATATATATATATCAAGATAGCCGTTAACTGTTAAATTATATATACAAATCGCATTGTACACTGAACATAATATGTGTGTGTAACACTTGCACTTTTAAAACAGCAGATTGACTTAAAAAACAAATTCTTTTAACATTTATATCATTAGTTTGTTACAATTTGCAGGTGACTTTCGACGTGGTCGAAATTGTCAACAACGTAATTAAATCTATTGAACTAGGAACAGAGTTTTCAATGAGAGAAACAGCATCCTCGTTTGTGGTGTCATTAGAGCAACAACTTGCAACTGTAGCAGCAGCAGACATGAATTTCACTGCTGTATTACCTCATGTTAGCGTTATGACGTTATCAGTGAGCTCAGGTGCTCTGGAAAAGGGTCTTTCGTATGTAGAATTCGGAGATAGTGATTCTGCTGATGAATATTTTGAGCCGAAATCCATAAAAACATTTTTTGAGTTGACCTTTCCTATTGACAAGATTGCAGCCTCTATTAGTCTTCCACCTGATATTATCTCTGTAAGCCAGCATCAGACGGGAGAGGATGATATTCGAGTGTATTTCACTGTGTACCAGAATACTTCACTGTTTATTTCAGACAAACTGGCTAACGAATCAGAGAAGAACCTTAAGCGGCAAGTTGGCAGCCATGTTATTTCAGCTTCGATAGATTCCGTGAGGATTGGTGAATTAGTAAATCCTATAAAACTGGCATTTCTTCCCCGTTTAGTAAGTACTGTAGCTAGGAATATAAATTTCGATTTATTGTTATTGTATAATGTGTATTAAATTTTTAGAAAACATTTTAATATGTTATTGCTTCGCCAAGCAAACCTTTTAACACTATTTTAACATCTTTTTTAATTTAAAATACTTGATTAATAGGAAACTATTACAAACACTGAATGTGTCTTTTGGGATTTTTCTTTTGATAATGGCGTGGGTGATTGGTCGAATGAAAGCTGTACATATAACGGAACAGCAGATGACCGTGCGATATGCTTATGTGATCACCTTACGAACTTCGCCATTCTTGTTGTAAGCATAAAACATGTATATATTTTTTAATTGTGGTTTCTTTAGCCAAGTAAGAAAAATGATTAATTATAGCTGTGTAGTATGCTATTGACTTACTTGTTTTCATTATAGAGTATATTTTTGGTTATTAAACACTTATATTGTTAAGGTATTTACAAGTATTATTCTCTGAATAACAGTACACATTAGTATATTGTTTTGATTTTTGTGTAAAATGATAAAGGTGATCCTGATAAAGATGTTGTTATTATTATAGGACTATTATGAACCCAAAGTCGACAAAGTTTTGACTATCATTAGCTTGATCGGATGTATCGTGTCTATTGTCTGTTTAGCAATTACGATTTTCACTTACCTCTTTTTTAGGTAAGTATAATGTCACTAGGCTGTTTGTAAGTAAAGGGACAGATACAGCGTTAAACATATAATTCATTATTGTGGTTAACAATGTATTTAGTTTTATATTATTCAAGATAAAAAACAGTGCTACAAATACAAATGTATATTATCAGGATTAAATCGATTTTTTTTTATTGTAGGCAATTTCGAACCAAGAGGCCTAAGAAAATACTTATAAACCTATCAATATCGTTATTTTTTCTGTACCTTGTGTTTGCGATTGGGATTGAAAAGACAACTTCTAAGAATAGGTGCACCGTCGTTGCCGCCCTGATCCATTATTTTGCACTGGCCTCAGTCTTCTGGATGTCAATTGAGGCTATAAATATGTACCTCATGTTTGTGAGGGTCTTTTACGATGGTATTCGGTATTTCATGCTGAAAGTATGCGTGCTGGGATATGGTAAATATTATGTTTGAATAATAATAATAATAATAATAATAATAATAATAATAATAATAATAATAATAATAATAATAATAATAATAATTAATATTAGGAGTTTCTTTTATTACGCTGGAAATAATTCTTTTTAAGCAACTATGATGGTCACAGCATTAATTCATTTTTTTTTGTCAGATATTATTATAGTTTATTCACAATTACTTCAAAAGTTACGAGCTTAATATCTTTACTGTTTTCCATCATTGAATTTCCGCACTGGGATATTGAATCCTGCAAAATAGACCTTTGAATATATTGGTTGAACTATACTGTGAATTCGAAGTCTTTGTCGTTGAATTTATAGATAGTTTTGTCTGGACTTTTGTAAGGTTGTTCTTTGTGATACGATGCGAGGAGTTGCAAGAAGTCAATGTTTCTTTTGGCTTTTAACTTTTTTTTTGTTTCTTTCGGAGCAATATAAGTTTAACCATAGAGTAATATTTTCCACAAGTACTTGATCCTACTATAATATTGCTTGTTGTAGAAATTGGACATTTTTTTTTTATAAATAAAGCGTTAAGATTTGCAGATATTCATTACAATTTGACACTCACATACCAAAGGTCGAATAGAAACATTTGTAACGACACAAAAAGAAGAAATCTTGTACTGTAGAATATTGTATTACTGTAGAAATACTAGTTGTCTAGAATGTAGAATAAGCTTTATAAATCCGAAAAATGAGCTAAAAATCATATAAAACAAAATGCGCATTTTTTTTTTTTTTTTTTTTTTTTTTTTCGGATAAAACGATATTTAGGACATTTTTTTTTTCAAGAAGATTTTAAATAAATGTGACGCCAACAGCAATAGACTTTTTGGTCTTATGAGTTGTAGATCAAAACCAATAGCTATATATTAAGCCCACTAATATTAATATTGATACATCAGCATTTATAAGCACCCCATAGATAGGTAACTAATTTGAAAGTTTATAATGGACTATTGGTGTTTAGCACGGGCTATTAATAGCCCTTCATGCACTAATTATTATAAGGTCTGCAATTCTTGAAGAGTTTTCCGCTGTGGTTTCCCTCGATTGGTACTCTGCATATGACCGGGTGACCACTTCCTTCTTGTGAAACTGTACAGATATGATTTCTTTAGTTTTTCTCTGTATAAGGCTTCAACACATTCTTGTATAGTTTAATATTGCCTCCCTTAGAAGAAGCCATTTAAGATCGACCATGACTTTGTTGATGGTATCAGAAAGTTAAATGTCTTTGAAACCCATCAATGAGTATCAAATGATCTAATGAGCAGACTGTAATTATACATGAAACTTGGCTTCACCTTACTTCTTCGCAAAAGTACTTCGCTGTTAATATTTTGTCTATATTTACCTGGTGTGCTATTATTAATAAAGTTACCTCTAAGGCACTAAAAAAAAAGCTCTATAAATAAAATAATTAAACACAAGGTTACTCAATGGCATTTTTCGAGTTATTTGATCTTTTGTGAGACCAGTTTTATGGAGTGTCCTGGTGGTTTCTATTTTAGAATCCAAATATCAATTCCATTGACAAATCTCAGAGAAAAAAACCACTGGTTAAATATTTACTCATTCTGCTTAGAGAAGCCCATTTTCTATAAAATAATTATATGTATGATTTTGTTTTCTTACTGTTTTTGTCAACCCAAGAAAACCGATAGACTTGCGTTTCTGACACGAGTTTTTCGAACAAGTGCATTGAAGTCTTCAGCTTGCAATAACCTTCCGATTATTTTACAATTACTTCAACTGGAATTCCTAATGCAGTTCATTTATTATTTACTAAGCTGCTCAGAGAACAATATCTAGTGCTGCCTGTTCATCTAAGCTTAAAAAGACTGTAGAATTAGTCAAAAGATTGTATTTTAACTAATTATAATTATATTTTCATAATATTAAATGTAAACATTTAAAATTATGATATTTAAATATGTGACAATTAATATGTAAACGGTACTATTTATGGTTAAAAAGAAAATAACTAATTAAAAATTAAATGAATACGCTTTCTTTGTAACACAATGGCCATGTACTTCAGACTCTTAAACTCAAAAGCGTATTTGTTTTAAATACCGTATAATAGTTTCTTTTCATTATTTATACCGTTTCACTGTTTTAGGTGCTCCTCTTGTTAGATGTGTATAAGAGACAGTAATAATTATGTGAATGTTGTATTTCAGCTGTTTTATTCGATCGGGAAATGTTCGAAATTTCGGTCTGATTTCTGTGATTGGTGTCCTTCTGTTGTTTAATTTCATTGTATTCACCGTAGTTATGCGTACACTTATTTGTGGGCGAAAAGCTATCAAGCCAAAGAGGGAGCTACTTATCAAACGTTTTCAGAACGCCGTCGCTGTTTCTGTTCTGCTCGGCCTAACTTGGGTTTTTGGATTCCTTGCAATTGGTTCCGATTCGTCTGCACGATATGTGTTCCAGGTCTTATTCTGCTTTTTCAACTCGCTCCAAGGCCTCTTTATCTTTGTTCTGTTCTGCGTACGACAGAAAGAAATTCGCGATGAATGGAAGAGATGCTGCAAGAGAGGTGACAGAGCAAGTAGAGTAAAATACGCTACTGATACGAGCAGCAAGGGAAAGGTTAAAGAACATAGTATTCCATTACGGAACGTTTCTAATCAGAGCACTAATTTGTCTACTAAGACAAATAGCCAAATGTAAGTGTCGATGACACTTTTTAGGTCAATTCAATATCCAAATTAATTACTTCCATCCCCATGTAAAGGCTACTTCGATTGGTGGCATATGCGACACAATCGATTGCTAACACGAAAACAAACGTTTCATTAGTTCATCTACCATGGTCCATGGTGAGTATAGTTATCGAAACATTATCTACAGAGTTTACTTCTTACATACGTTTTTTTTTATTTTATTTTTTTATTTAGAGATTTAGTCAAAGTTTGTATAACGCTACCGTTAGTTATAGTATACTATCATCATTATATATTTACTTTTAAATATGAGAATTGAAATTTTAGATAACACTTAAACAGGATATATCAAACTAGATTGATGCAAAAGAAAGTTTAAAAAAGGTATCCTGATAATTAGAAATCTAAATCCTAATGTGATACATGAAATGAGGATATTCTTCACAGAATTTGGTTTTTGTGGGTTTTTAGTTGTACAGATATTACGTGATATTATTATAAACGTTCTTCATTTTAGCATGTTTTAGATTAAAAATATGATGCCAATATAAGTACTAGTTTGTAAACACAATGCTACTGTCACAATTTAATAATTTTATACGGTTTTCAAATTGGGGTACTAGATATATTAAAGAAATATAGATATATTAATGTATAACAAAATACTATCATTGTTAAAAGTACAAATAGACTGGAAATGACATTCACAGTTACGTTGTGATATGCAACCTTAAATTATAAACTCATTGATTAATCGACAGAAATTGTTGTACATAAGGGAGTCGCTTTCTTTTTTAAACGTTTTGCAACGACAAGATCTGACTGTTATCGTCACCTCTTATGATCAAGATTCTTGAATTTACAGGTGACAATGTTTTGTATCATAATAATGTAGAAAAGTTTGCATTCAATGCAGTATCGTGGTCAACAGCCAATTGAACGTTTGGTAGGTGGATTTAGTTGACCAAAACGACGTGGCATAGACACGTTTATTAAAATGCCTCTGTTCTTTACGGATCATGCTATGCCGTTTAATCAAGTTCGTGTTGTAACGTCTATTTCGCTCTACAGTAAAGTTGTATCTTTATTTTGGTGGCCATATAGCTCAATCTACCCACCAGCCATACCAGTCTTATGTCGTTAATTAATAATGTAAATGACCCGATACAGATATCTGCTCCCTGGAATAACTAGCTTTATGTATTGTTTTGCTTTGTTTTTATATCATATATAAATCACGACATAAAGTATTGTAAAATTCTTATATATCATTCATCCTTACATTCCTAAGAGGTCTCTGAGATCTAGTTCAGAGTCTCTACTTGCTCATTTTTTATACTGTATATATATTATATATATTTATGTATATATTTATATGTATAACGGTGTAAATTTTAATATATTTCTTTTGGTTTGTATGGTGTTTAAAGGTATAGATTAGATATATTGTTTACAGCTTTTATCGTTCTACTTTTGTTATCTCGAATATAGTCACTATCGAAGTACTGTTATTGGGGCTAACTTAGAAATTGGTCATGCAAAGTGTTTTGGGCTACTTAAGGCCAATTATCATAGGATTTGTTTACAATTCCCATTGAAATAATTATGTTTATCACGATAATAAAAGCCAAAATAGAAGGCCTATAAAAAAATCTCGCTTTTCGTATTGTTTTGTTTGTTTTTGTTGTTTGGGTGTTTGGTCTACCAGAAATAATTCCATGTATCCAACGGATGCATTCACGGAACGTTAAACAATTTTTCGAAATAATTCTGATTATATGTATAAAATTAATATGATATTGTACGGTTTAACATAGATTAGCTATTGTTTACAACTTTTATCGTTTTAATGTTGTCATCTCAAATGTAGTCTCTACCGAAATATTATTATTGGGGCCATAACTTTGAAATTGGTCATGCAAAGTGTTTTGGGCTACTTAAGGCCAATTATCATAAGATTTGTTTATAATTCCCATTGAAATAGTTATTTTATCACGATAATAAAAGCCAAAATAGAAGGCCTAGTGTTAAAAAAACTCACTTTTCGTATTGTTTGGTTTGTTTTTGTCGTTTGGGTGTTTGGTCTACCAGAAAAAAATCCATGCATTCACGGAACGTTAATCAATCTTTCGAAATAATTTTGATTATATGTATACCATTACTATGGTATTGTACGGTTTAACATAGATTAGCTATTGTTTACAACTTTCATCGCTTTAATGTTGCTATCTCGAATATAGTCACTACCGAAGTATTGTTATTGGGGCTATAACTTTGAAATTGGTCATGCAAAGTGTTTTGGGCTACTTAAGGCCAATTATCATAAGATTTGTTTATAATTCCCATTGAAATAGTTATTTTATCACGATAATAAAAGCCAAAATAGAAGGCCTAGTGTTAAAAAAACTCACTTTTCGTATTGTTTGGTTTGTTTTTGTCGTTTGGGTGTTTGGTCTACCAGAAAAAAATCCATGCATTCACGGAACGTTAATCAATCTTTCGAAATAATTTTGATTATATGTATACCATTACTATGGTATTGTACGGTTTAACATAGATTAGCTATTGTTTACAACTTTCATCGCTTTAATGTTGCTATCTCGAATATAGTCACTACCGAAGTATTGTTATTGGGGCTATAACTTTGAAATTGGTCATGCAAAGTGTTTTGGGCTACTTAAGGCCAATTATCATAAGATTTGTTTATAATTCCCATTGAAATAGTTATTTTATCACGATAATAAAAGCCAAAATAGAAGGCCTAGTGTTAAAAAAACTCACTTTTCGTATTGTTTGGTTTGTTTTTGTCGTTTGGGTGTTTGGTCTACCAGAAAAAAATCCATGCATTCACGGAACGTTAATCAATCTTTCGAAATAATTTTGATTATATGTATACCATTACTATGGTATTGTACGGTTTAACATAGATTAGCTATTGTTTACAACTTTCATCGCTTTAATGTTGCTATCTCGAATATAGTCACTACCGAAGTATTGTTATTGGGGCTATAACTTTGAAATTGGTCATGCAAAGTGTTTTGGGCTACTTAAGGCCAATTATCATAAGATTTGTTTATAATTCCCATTGAAATAGTTATTTTATCACGATAATAAAAGCCAAAATAGAAGGCCTAGTGTTAAAAAAACTCACTTTTCGTATTGTTTGGTTTGTTTTTGTCGTTTGGGTGTTTGGTCTACCAGAAAAAAATCCATGCATTCACGGAACGTTAATCAATCTTTCGAAATAATTTTGATTATATGTATACCATTACTATGGTATTGTACGGTTTAACATAGATTAGCTATTGTTTACAACTTTCATCGCTTTAATGTTGCTATCTCGAATATAGTCACTACCGAAGTATTGTTATTGGGGCTATAACTTTGAAATTGGTCATGCAAAGTGTTTTGGGCTACTTAAGGCCAATTATCATAAGATTTGTTTATAATTCCCATTGAAATAGTTATTTTATCACGATAATAAAAGCCAAAATAGAAGGCCTAGTGTTAAAAAAACTCACTTTTCGTATTGTTTGGTTTGTTTTTGTCGTTTGGGTGTTTGGTCTACCAGAAAAAAATCCATGCATTCACGGAACGTTAATCAATCTTTCGAAATAATTTTGATTATATGTATACCATTACTATGGTATTGTACGGTTTAACATAGATTAGCTATTGTTTACAACTTTCATCGCTTTAATGTTGCTATCTCGAATATAGTCACTACCGAAGTATTGTTATTGGGGCTATAACTTTGAAATTGGTCATGCAAAGTGTTTTGGGCTACTTAAGGCCAATTATCATAAGATTTGTTTATAATTCCCATTGAAATAGTTATTTTATCACGATAATAAAAGCCAAAATAGAAGGCCTAGTGTTAAAAAAACTCACTTTTCGTATTGTTTGGTTTGTTTTTGTCGTTTGGGTGTTTGGTCTACCAGAAAAAAATCCATGCATTCACGGAACTACTAACATAACTGTTGTAACTCAAATCATGAATAATAGATCCAAACAATCGACAGGACATAATAAAGAATACAAATTTAAAAGCGATAAACCAAGATATAATAATCATGTTTATGCTTTATCACACAGTCATCTTCAGTAAGTAAAATAAAGGAACTAAAAATTTGATAGGAACGCCACTTCATCTTATATAGTGTTAGTAGTACACATATGCTTAGCGATACAGATGTTTGACTCCTGGTTATTCATAAATAAGCCACGTCATGGTGTACGTATGCTTAGTGAGGCAGGTGTATTAAGAGGTAAGGTAATAATTATTCAAACTTTTGTGGACTTTTCTATTATAGACAAAGGGTGATATTATAATGCTGAACCTGTTTGTTCAGCGAGAGATCATTCCATTTAATGTGTAGGGCTTCTTTAATTTTTATCATACAATAACGCAGTATGTGAACCGTCAATTACATAGATTATAATTCCTCAGGCAATAATTATATAAATACCTATTCACAACTAGTAACATTGACTTTTTATGTATTGAATTTTAACCGTAACAACTTTTATTTTTAATTTCGGGCAAGTCATGCAAAAAAATTAGAGTTGTTGCATACAAATGTAGTGAAGTACAACCAAAAAGTTAATCAATTATAGATTGCTATACCACAGGCTAAGCAGTTGGTTGGTTAAATTTAATAGTACTATCACTCTTAGGACCGTAGAAAAAGCCAGATAGTATAAAATGAGGAGTCATGCAAGCATAAACAGCCTACTAAGAAGGAATATACAGCCTAGTAAGAAATAAACAACTTACAAACGTTACAAAGTGCTAGACTATTTAAGCTACAGGTGATTTTTAAACTTTTCAATCGTGAATTTGAATGTAGTTTGAATGAAAATGCGCCAGAATAAATTTGTAATATTGGTGTGCATGAATAAATGTGTAACATTGGTGTGTGTTATTTATGAATTGGGAGAAAATATTAACTGACTAACTTGTTTCCAGCTAACACATATCGAGAGTACAATTAAGCATATGTGAGCTGAGCTCTACTCTATTGTATTTGTACCTGCGTCGTTCAATACAGGCTCTCCCCCTGGCCCCCATGAGTGTGTAGTCTATTACTCACTCTCTACTCGCCTGATCTTGTCTATTAATCGTTTTCCCGCTTGTTTGTTACACGCTCAATTAACATATAGTACGCGCTTAAACAACGTACCTAAATGGACCTGGTCTAGTGTGATTCTCAATAATATAAATACACAACATATTATTATAAAGGCATTAAGATTCTACTAAAATAAACTTAATTAATACTAGGTAATTGCTGATTATATTCGTGCCTCAATAGACCTAACCCCATTAGGGGTTATTTTATAGTATTGAATGAATGAATAAATAAATGAATATTTATAATAAATAATAACAACAATAATAATTGTAGACATAAAAATATTGTACAGGGTAGGCCCTAAGTTTTTATTGCAAATACACACCATTATACAGTTAAAGGCACAAGGGCTAACATCACTAGGACTAGGCCTATATTTATAACCTTTTTTCACGCTTCGGTAGACATCTTCGATCGATGACAAAGAGTGCTGAGCAGCGAAGCGTAACCAATAGAAATAACATAGCGTTTCGACCATATTTTCGGAGGTCATGTTATTTTAAAAAGTCATCCTTAACGGAGGGTCGTGTCAACCTAATTTTTGTCATTAAAATGTTCGCAAAGGATATATCTACGTACTGTGTGAATAAAAAAAAAGAAAATTTGTTTAGTCTGTCGTCAAATTAACTTGAAAATGAAAGACCGATTTTGTGTAGTGTTAACACACACATTGCCATTATTTCACTGTTCGACCGAATATCATTAGCGTGCCGGCCATATTTTTGGAGGTCATGTTACTTATATCATATCGACATAATTTATTCTTTAAATGTTTGCAAAGAATATATCGAAGTACTGTATGACAAAAACATTGTTTAGTCTGTCAAATTGGTTTTCTATTTTCCAGTTAAGTTTTGACCATTTGACAGACTAAACACATTTTCATTTGACCCCGACTTTGAACCCCCAGCAGGGCAGGGCAGAAGAAAAGACAATCAGTCCCATTGGACCCTACTTGTGGGAACGTTTCTCACTGAATTAATGTTACTTGGCAACTTAATAGTACGACAGCTTGATACGCTATTTAAAGCAATGTATTTCCATTCATGCCTAGATTTATTTATTAAATTATTAAAATACGGTAACCAATTAATCACTTTTATCTAGAACGTATTTATCGTCTTGCAATAGGTACGCTTGTTTAATCGTACACATATAATTATAATACAGGATTAATTAATTATATTATATGCTTGATAAGTTACAGCATAGTTAAATTAAATTTCTTCCAAGCAATAAAGTTTCAACTTAGAATATTTTGCAGGATAAATAAATTTTGTTTGTTGCTATTTGTTTCGGTATTCAAGCTGACAAAAACTCAAAGCTGTTATGTTTGATCTGAAAGTTTATTGTGTCCCAACAAGTCGTTCGAACCTAGAATACAAAATACAAGAAACTACATAACTCAAGATGCTCAAACCTTTTAACGCGATAATATAGATTGGCGTAATTATAATTAATTAATTCTCAATACTTTTAACTCATATAATCAGTACTTAAACTCACACTTTTTGACATCCAAGATTCAAATTACAGCTCAACTCAACTCGGTATATACTCTACTCAGATGACAGCCTGAATGTCGAAATATCAATTCCTAATGACAACAAAGCATTATCAAAATAATGTTGGAAATAGCAGTGTTTCTCTTATATTATTAAGTAATAATAATGATAATATTTATTTGAATTATGTCATGTGTATCGATGAAACTCAAAGAAAAATACCTAAAGTAATTTAAACATATTATTACTGTATTCCTCTCGTAGACCTTCATGAAGAAAAAATAAATAATGCGATTCTCAAATCATAGCAATACAGACGCTCTATTGTATTACATTGTATAACCATGGTTACTCTGGTCAAAAGTGCTAACCACTAGAGATAAAACACTTTCAGGGATCAACTGGATTATAATATACTGTAACTTACACTAACTTAAAATGCGAGTCCCAAATAAGCCTCATAACACTGCAAATATCACTCCGCATATATAAAATGCACTAGACTCTTAAAATACTGTACCACAAATTAAAGTAAATTAATACGCAATCAAACAATTAGAGTTCTAATAATTACTAATAATCATTAACGTTTCTTTCTATGTACAATCAAAACACGCTTCACTTGCATGATGATTCATCATATACAATACGATGATACAATTCTAAGCATAACTATAATTCTAATGATTGTTAATTCGTAATTCCTAATATTCGGAAACTCGGCGACTATCAATCTCAGTTTCACGATCTTATTTAATCATTAATTACCGATGTTTTACGATAAATTATGATCCGTTTTACAATGAAGTTTAATAAAATGATGTTTAACTTACCGGTTGAAATGCTCAATACTCATAGAACAACCGAGTTAACTTTCTCAAATAACTAAATTACACTACAGAATTCTCGAACGCTTCTCTCTCTACGTAAAATAGTTTGCTGTGTCTTATCGGAGCGCGAAATGAAAACCACAAAAATGTGAGACAGCTAACAAGAGAGGGTGCTCATTTCGTTCCCACACGAAACACTATTAAAACTTCTCCGTAAAACAATCAATCTTAATAATGTACTAAATTACACAACGGTATTGTGTTCTTCTAAGTAGAACAAACAATACATTTTTATTTATACTCTTATTTCAGAAATTTGATTTTATTACGGATGATTTCTTTGTACAGTACCCACTAACAGGCGCCAACGTTACACTGTGATATCAGTCTACTCAGGCACGGCCGACAGTGCACGGACGAACCGAACTAATTTAAATAATAATAATAATAATAATATATAGGGCCTGGGCATATTAAATCTTGCGTTTTCGCAACTCCTTCGGCGCTCCTTATATTTGTTCGAAATAAACCGCGACCGCAGTGAGGCGCGACGACCGAATGATCGGCTAACACACACAATGTGTGCATTTAGTAAGTGATCCGTTTATCTTATATCGGCTTATAATTTATCACTTGGATTGTGCCCAGGTCCTTCTAACTACTAGGATAGAGTAGGGCTAGGCCTAGTAAGTAGTAGGCCTAGTAGGAGGAGTAGACCTAGGCCTAGCCTAGGCTAAAAAACCTAGCGTAGCCCTAGGCCTGGCTACCTAGCTAGGGGAGGTCAAGGTCAGGCCTAGGTCTAGCCACACACTAAAGTATTTAAATTTCGCCTGGATATACATCGAAAACTAGCATGAATTTGCTAGGCCTAGTAGTGGCCCTAGCCTAAGCCTAAACATCTGCCCCACCACGAGATGTGTATGGAACGCCATATCAATAATTTACAGTACAGTTATTAAGTAGTTCTTTATTCATGACCAAATATAGTTAGCCTATAAGTCACATCATCTGTAATTGTGTAGCTCATTAACAACTACAGTAGTAGTAGTAATAGTAGAAGGTGAATAATTTGCAATGCACCTCAAGTCAAGTTGTGGTTCAAATCCCACTGTGCTTATTTCACATCAGTCACTTCATCATCTATGATTGGCATAGCCTTGTTCATCTAACCTTGAGTCTGTCTCTTATACACAACTCTGGGCGTCAGGCGGCAAACCTCGAGTTCACTTCACTAGAGCGCGTTTGTCATGCATACAATTGCCGTATTCGATTGGGACTATACGTTGAGTATGTTATCCCGTTGAGTACAAAACTGAACGATAAATTCCGAGCGTTAACTTCGTTGAGCAGTTTCCGTTGAGCAGAACACGAAAATCCCAATCGAATACGCCCGATGATTTCCGATGAATTCTGGAATTTCCCGTTATACTGGCCCTCTATGTCAGATTGTATGGAATAGTTTCATGTGAAGACGTCTGAGACGTAACATCGGGAACATTCCGATTGTATACAGTAACAATGATTCCTAAATTTTATATGTTGAACAAAACTAGACAGGAAATGTCAACAAGTCTATAGAATGGCGGCCATTTTGAAAAATAAAAAATAAAAAATAAAAAAGGCCGCTTCCTCAATTTAAAAAAAAAGCCGGACGTGAAACATGTTTTTTTTTTTACTTGGCCTTAATACTAATAGGTATATGCATTACAGTGCTGTAGTACTAGTAATACTCTGAACTAGCATTGTTTTAGTTACCATATGAGAGTTTCCTGTGTTAAAAACATGATTTACTATACTATACCCTTTATAAAACATAACTTGTACTTTGTAATAAGAGAAATATGTATATTATCGCTACTTGGAACAGTAACAACACGAAAGTCCTATGCTACTGCACTGTAATGCATTGGCCTATTTTATTACACTACTAAGATAGGCTTTTCTGACTTTAATACTGCATTAAGCTACAGGTAGCTTAAAACGGAGCCAAATGCAATTCTAATCTTCCAATTAAATAGGCCTACAGTTTTATAATGTTCATGAAAATCTTATTTCCCCATATTTGAAATTGTGTTCATTCATAGGCCTACTATACATTTTAAGCAGCTTCACTGCATTAGTAAATTTACATGTTATGAATGATCCACACAACAGACAAACATGATTTTAATAATCTAAAATTTGTATGTCGCTCATAAGACGAACCCTGGTTTTTCGATTTTGTTTAAAGTATGTTTTCAAACCTCTCTACACTTGAAACAGTGACAGTGTATAACAAAAATTATTCTTGAATCTTACGTAAGATATATTTTCTGCAAGACCAGTAAGGGTGCCCAGCATCAAGAAAATTTTTCAGTTAAGTGCACGAATTGGCTGTGACCTCTCAGAGGTCGAGGCATGTCAGTATCAAGATGTGATGGGCAGCATGTTGGAAGGTGTTAACATAGTTGATGCTATTCCAGAACCCACTTTACCGGTCAAATATCCAAGGACTCCTGGTTATAGACCACCCGACCATGAAAATCTTCACAGAGCATGGTAAATATTCAGTTTTATTGGTCTCGCTTTAAGACACACCAGTTTAAATTTGGTGTTAAATACATGTTGTAGAACCAAAGTATGTACTTATAACCTAATTTCATAACGTTTGAACATTTCTACAACGTTAGTGAACATTATAAGAATGTTTTGTGTTTGCTGGGATACCACTTCAAAATATAGAGCACCTTTCTTCAGCCCAAATTAAGGACTGTTTTTTATCTTTATATTGAACTGACCAACTGATATGGCCATTATAACCCTGCTCTCAAAATTGGTATTATTTGGAGTGAGACCTTGTCTGTATCTTTTTTTGGGATTGGGGAACGATGTCCCCAACAACAAAAAGAAGTGGGTGTTGTCGGTCATCAATTAAAATTTCTCAGTAGTGTTCTAGGGTAGCGAAGCCCCCGAAAAATATGATAATTGAGGGATTTCAATCAGTTTTGGGGTCTACTAATATGTAAAAAATACATATGTATACATACATATATATTTTTTTCTCCCCGACGAAATATGGTTCTTCTCACCAATGGGGCCCTGGCCCCCCAGCCCCTTCCTGGCGGCACCCCTGCACTGGCTGTCAATACTGTATTGCTGAAATCGCTTCTATTAAGCCCCTTGTATGTCTTAACAGGGAGGTGGTCTTACTAAAATCTAGATGAAATTAAATGTCTGATTTTAACATACGGAAGGTAAAGGTTGACTGAATAGAATATAAAAAATCCTTATAAATTAGTTACAGAAGTAGAATAAAGTCGATACATTTTTACATTTAATTTTTCTTAATTGCCTAAGGTATTGGAAAACTAACATAATTGGTGCCAAAGAAGGAATCTTAAAAGACAAGAGAATAGTGCTGAAAGATACAATTGCTGTAGCTGGGGTTCCCATGATGGCTGGTTCATGGCTCACTGAAAACTATGTCCCAGAGTTTGATGCCACAGTCACAACCAGAATCTTGGATGCAGGTAAATTATGATGTTGAATTTGACAATATGATTAATTTTTAATTAAATTGATTCGTATCACCTAATTGAATTGATTTTAATGTTAACTGATTTATTCATATCCCTAACTGATTTATTCATATCACCTAATTGAATTGATTCACGTCACCTGATCCAAATTCCAAAAGGTTTTTAAAACCTATTATTTCACAAAATCGTTCCTAATTATCACAAAATGCTATAGCATGCATTGCATTATATATTTGCCAGCACATCCAGCCGTTGATTTTAAGTATGGTATGAAATTTGTTGGATTTATTTATCGTGTCTGGTGACTGCAGATTGATCTATAACATGAACAATGTTATCTGTAGGCCTGCAGATGTACAGGACATAATAACGTTACTTCTTCAGGCCCCCCCCAAAAAACCCCAAATTAATGACCCTGAAAATGCTACTTTGTCGGAGCCTCCTGGGGCTTTTCTTAAAAACCCCCTCCAGATCTCTGCCCCTCCACTTTTTAAAACCTATTATTTCATTAAAATCTTTCCTAATTATTGCAAAATGCTATAGGCCTAGTATGCATTACATTTTTTTTTTTTTTTGCCTGCTCTTCTAACCGTTGATTTTTAATAATGTGCTACAAAATCGGTTGGAAATTATCAGCTCCAGTGATTGCAGATTGATCCATGTTATCTGTAGACCTACAGATGTAAAGGACATAAAAAAAGTTACAACTTCACAGTGGCGGATCAGGGGGTGTGGGGAGCTCCCTAAAATTATAAAAGAAGTGGAGAAAAAAAAATCATTAAATTTTGTTTGAGAGTGCCATTTCCAGCCATTTGGAGGTGCCATAATCATAAATTGTCTTACTGTACCTCAGCCCCAACGATGGCAGGGCTGACGTGGTATTGATCATCCGCCTGTGAAAGTTCCTCCCTGCCCTGGACCCCACTCTCTATTTGTTCTCCTGCCTCATGCCCCTAAACAATACCCAAATGAATGAAAATTTATGTAGAATATTACGAATTATAGGTTTCAGATATCCATTATAAGGCCCACAAAAAGCTAATTTGTCAGAGCTTCTGGGGGATTTGCCAATCCCCCTCGCGGGGACCCCTAGGCAGTCGCCCATCCTAAGGTCCACTTCGGTCGCAAAAACCCTCCTCCCCATCGAAAATCCTGGCTACGGGCCTGCCCGGTACAAAAGTTAACCATAACATTCACAATTCATGATTACGAGCAAGATACAAAAAATACATAAAAAATACATAACATCCAGATCATAACATTTTTAAAATTGTTGAAATAATATCAGACCAATCCGAATATAAAAAATAAATTGCTTCATATCACGTGATTGCTTCATATCACCTGATTGATTTACATGACTTGATTAAAATGATTCACATTACCTGATTAAAGAAGTTTACATCATCTGGTAATAGTGATTCACCTCACCTGATTGAATAAAATAACATATTACCTGATTGAATTCATATGAATTTAATTTCTGCAATATAAATTGTTTAATATCTCATTCCCTTTTAGGTGGTGTAATTTACTTTCTGCAATTTACTTTCTGAAATATAACTTGTTTAATATCTCATTCCCTTTAGGTGGTGTAATTGCTGGAAAATCAGTTTGTGAAGATTGGTGTTATTCTGATTCAAGCTTCACTGCAGCCAAAGGCCCTGTTCTTAATCCTGTTGAAAACACTGTGACGGCAGGAGGCTCAAGTTCAGGAAGTGCTGTGTTGGTAACCAATTCATCATGCCATTTATAGCGATAATTTATTAATAAACATTGATAACAGAGAGGGTTCGCGAGCTTGCGAAAATGATTACCATAATACGGCTACATCTCGATAATAATAGTCAATCCATCCCCTAGCATATTTGTCACAACATAGGCTGTCTATGCCTTTAATTTACATAAATCAACTATCATATTCAGCTCATGTATGTATTTTTAAGAATGCTTTAGGTACAAATGAAGATGATGAAGATGCCGTATTCGTTGTTGTTTTCGTAAGGTTGTGAAAACTCCCTATTGTCATTGTTATGACTATTACTATGCTGTATACTGTTATTGTAGCGGCAATATTCAATTTCCTTAAATAAAATTTTAAAAAATATTGTAGATACGTGGCAGTTATCATCTAGTTCCATAGTAGAAAAATATCTGTTTTATTAAACCAGTTAGTTGCTTACCTTTAGCAATGGCAGTTGATCTCTGAAAATGCAATCACTATATCGTTGAAATCCTCAACCACCAGCTTCGCATACAATTTCAGTTTTTGGTGATCTGCATCTAGTGCGGATCACCTCTTGTTGGTGATCCGCTTCACCAGCGGATCACTTCTTGTTATTGTCAGAGATCTTTTTGGTGATCCGCTTCACGAGCAGATCACCTCATAGTTATTTTCAGAGATCATCTTTATTCTTCTTTTTGTTCTCCCCATATTCTGTGGGCATTCACTCAAGGTCAAGGTTTAATGTTATCTAGTTAAATTTTTTGTGCGCGCGTCACAACGTGCGCGTACGCGTGCATCAAAATTAAAATATGCTTAAAATCATGCCTATTTTAAATCAATCCTTAGGATGAAAGGTGACCCCCAATTTTTATTACATATTCTGAAAGCACATGAGTTGTAGATATAATTTTATAGATCATTATGGCTGATCGGACATTGTGACATCATCATATTGCCATCTGAATTCTTTTTTAATGAATTTTTATTAACGTCATAACGTCATAATTTTTATACTCACTTGAACGTATCTCGCTTATTGTTGATCAATCGTCTCCCACCTTTGAGTATGTTATAGCTGAGACAGTTTGCTTTCAAATGTGCCATTCATTTTTCACTTTGATTACGTCATCATGGTCACAATAAATGTTTTTCTGACTCGTCCCCCACCTCTTTCTTTGTTCAGTTTTTTCAGAATCCCAAAGAAAGCGCGGCAGACTTGATATTGTCTTGCACTGTTTGAAAATCCTGGCTACGGTAGTTTCCCTTAATTCATACTTTTAAGTGCCGAGAGATTTCTTTTGCCTGACAAGCGGATCGCCTAACTCGTCCTCAGCGACGAGTTCAAATCTAGTTTATATTTTTTTTATTTTTTCATTTTTACAAAAATAAAGGTGTAACACTGTACAGTACTATATTTGAATTCTTTCACATTGAGCAATGTCTTCAGTCACCTAGATTTCTATACAATATTACCTTCAATATAAATTAATAATACAAATTCTAACATTTTTTTATTTTCTATTATTTTTAAAAGTCAAACCTAAATATTTTTTTCAATCAAGAACTATAAAATTACACACAAAACACATCTATCTCTGTCTCTTATTTAGACTAACATTTCTAATTTAAAACTATTATTTATTAAACTAGTGCAGGTCTCCCTCTAATTAAAGACCTCCTATTAAAGACCACTTTTCCATGGTCCCATATTAACAAATGTCATTTGTCTGTAAATTCAAATTCATAAAATATGTTATCCAAAAGGAAATTTATTTGGCCATGGTATGAAAAATATAAAGCAGAGTACAATGGATAAAATATATACATGTATATAATGTAATAGTAAAATCTTTAAGACTTGAAGACATATAAAAATAATTTAAAAAAATAAAACACAAGAAAAAAAAAAATTTGTTTAAAAAAAAAAGGTTATTAATGTATTATTAAAAATTATTAATATAAGGTTGATTAGTTTACGTGCTAAAACATGCGTATTGGAGGCCTATTGAAGTCAATGAATACAATTTTGACAAAATTTCCACCTCAACCATCAAGTTGCTCATAGATGTCATTTAAGATTAGAATGGCATCTTCAACATTAATTCTATCTGAATGATAGGCAAATTGACAGTCATCAAGATCATTCTGTATTAGGCCTGTATTCTTTTTGTTGTTAATTATTGCAACATTGCACTACGTTGTAATTACATCATGCTATAGGTAGCTACCGGGGAAGTGGACATGTCGCTTGGAGGTGATCAAGGAGGCTCGATTCGTACACCTGCCAGTTGTTGCGGTATTGTGGGGCTTAAGCCGACCCATGGGCTAGTTCCATACACGGGAATCCTCCCATTAGACTTTAGCCTTGATCATGTTGGTCCGATGGCAAGAAAAGTGTATGACTGTGCCTTACTACTTGAGGTATGTACACACATCATGAAATCTTGTAATGCTAGCAGGGATCCAAATTTTTAATCAAAAACTATTTTAGATTTTTGTTTTTCTTTTGTAGTTTACCGGACTAAAAAGCCATACCTGTATTTCATAGCCAATATTATTTTAATTTTATCACCCAAATACAGTAGCAGTTGGAACTATAATTGGGATCTGAACTATCAATTATTTACAAAAGTATCCAAGCCTAATGTTTAGGATTTATGGCTTTATCAAATTATGTATTTTAGGAAATAAAACTAAGTTTGACAGAGACATTAATTGCACCTCTGCTCTGGGCTAAAATTAATCAAACAAAGCAATTAATTGGTTGTGGTTATTGTTACACCGATGGAAATTCCTAATTCTGATTGAATGTTATTGTATCTGTGGATTGAAGACAATAACATCCAATTAGAATAAGGAGTTTTATGTAATAATAGCCACTGGCTTTTATTAAAGCTTCAACAGTACCAGTGTCCAACTTCATACACATACTGTATTTCATTCTCCTTGGGGGAACAAATTGGCAAAAAAAAAAAAATTATAAGTAACAACATTAAGTGGAATAATAATATCAATTTTCAGGCGATAGCAGGCTATGATGATGGTCTCGATCCAAGACAGCCAGACACAATTAAGAGTCATCAATACACAAAAGAGGTAAGAAAGTTGTAAGTGTATTGTTTTGTGGTCCTAATGATTTTAAACATTATATATTTTTACATGAACTGTTATATACTGATATAGATCTTTCAATCATCTTTGATAAATATTGTAGTTTAAAAAAATTCAATTAGAATGGAATTTAAGATAAAATAAGAACATTAATACCTAAGTACCACCAACATTTTTAGGTTGCTTTTTTTTTTCTTTATTATTATTTATAATTAATTTGTTTGATGGAACGTTGCCATTTGGCTTTATTTACCGAACCTTTTGTTCCGTAATGATTTTCTTAGTTAAGTTGTTTTCTTTTTTTTTAAATTTCCTGTTGATTTTGGACTTTTGGATGCTCCATCATTTTGAATGTGTGTTACTGTAATAAAAGTGATTCTAAATAAAATCTAAACTAAACTGGTATACGTTTCAAACAGAGCAAAAGCCAACCTTAACTTCTACATCACTTTTTTGAAGATTAAGGCCTCAGCTTCATGCTGTCTAGACCTATCTGGTCCAGTTATGCATGTAAACTCACTTTTGTTTGTATTTTCAAATCCTTGTTTATTGTCCTACTGTTAAACCGATTTTTGCTATTGGCCAATTCATGTTTAAGAAACCTGGTAGATAGTATGTTTAATCTGAAATGACTGGTATTCTTTCATAAGTGATGATGGACTTGATTTAGTTAAATACCCTAAAATCAATTGAAGTCAGAAAGACTTTCTGAACTAATAAATATATTAAGAATTTTAAATATTAAATTATAGTACACCTCCTGACCTCTCAAGTTCCCAGAAAAATTTGAATTTCCCAGATTTTTTAGGATCCATAGTTCCAAGTTTTTCCCAAAAAATGAAGAATTTTTATTGTGAATATTTAAATTGGTCCTGAGTCTATATTTTCAAAAATTAAACAACATCTTTCATTTTCAAATATTAGGTTACTTACAATTTAAACAAATCCACGCCATTGCATCACCACATAAGTTCAATAAAACCTGAAAATGACTTATTTTGGCCTATTGTGGGCCACTTACAAAAAGCGTACTCATCAGTTTCTGTAATATTTGTAATGAGTTTTGGTAACGGCATGACACACGTTGACACACGTTGAATTAACTTGTCATACGTAGAACCAAAAAAGTCCTCACTTCAATGAATGAAAAAGTACCCAGAAATTTCACTTCACAAATTTTTGACCTGCTTTATACTATTTTTTTAACATATTGTGTAGGCCTAATTGGGCCCCAACCAAAAGGGGAACGAAGCGCTTCTTACTATTACCCAGCACAGTACTGTAATAATATAGAGCTCTGAACAGTCTTCAGCCATAGCATTCATATCACTTTCGGGATTTTACCGACCCTCTGGCCACTTTGCAAGAGAAATTACATTGGTCATAACATTTTCTTATCCCTTATTCCCATGACTCGAATGTTACACTGCTGATATATATGTTAGGTAAAGAAATGGCATGGTATGTTTTGCACTAGTGTCATAACATTGAATGATTTGAGCATGTTATACTTGCCTTGAAGTGCACTGCTTTTATAATGTTGTAAAGTTTGCTTTATAGAGTTTTATATTTGTGTAGTGATGATATTCTGTATTTTATACCTGTTCTTTATTAAAGCCCCATTCCCGGCAAAATTTCACTAAAAACAAATTTTTTTTAGAAAAGATGCATCATATGCATTACTCTAATTATTATGAACAATGGAAAAATATTTGCATAAATTTTAGTTTTACGCAAAAGAATAAAAAAAATTAGAAATACAGACTATTTCTCATAGAATATTACCACTTTCTCAACGAATTCTTCGTTACTAGGCAAATTCAGAGGCTGTAGATCACATCCGCTAGAATACTCTCGCTTTTATATATACTTTATACAGCCAATAATGCACCCTCTCTAATGGGATTAGATCTCGTACAATGCGGTTGTTCGAGTAGGCCTGAGATATGTTTCTTTAAGTGTCAAAATCTTGGTCAGAATCAGCTTTTTAACAAATTTGAAATAATTTGTATGAAATATTATATTTCACAAGTGTCAATACTAGCAACGGAAAATATCATTTCGACCGTTTTTATGTGTGATAACAGAACCTAAATGGAGGTAAGGCTAGGCCTAGCCTAGCAGTGTTGGATAGGCTAATTTTTTTGGCGCCTACTATATTTCTTCGCAGACCTGTTGCTAAATCAAAAATTAAAAATTCATCCGCATTTATTTTTATTGTGGAACACAAAAAAAAAAATCAAATTTCAGTCTTCTTTTACATTTTTTTCATGCTTAGGAATGTCTAACTAGCAATTCCGTATTTATATTTATAAATCTTTATTACATTATACAAAAGTTTGATTTTTCTTTAACTACGAAATTTTGCCGGGAATGACGCTTTTATAAATATTTAATTTATGTTTTTGTATATCTTTTGTATTCACTTTGTAATGTAATCCGAGGAAGACAATTTTCTATTTTATTTTCTTTTATAATTGACTTTTTAAAATTCAAGAAGACTTTGAGCAAGAAGCAATTTTGTCTGAAATATAGTTGATGACAGAATATATACAAATTAGTAAAGTGCTGACACATTGAGTAAAGCATCATCGATAACCAGGATCAATAAAGAGTCCCTAGGTTTGATGTACTGTTACTTGTTTCATATTTGTTTTCTTTTTTTTTTTTCTAAGCTAGGTGGCTCAAGTCTGAAGGGCTTCAGTATCGGTATATTGAAAGAAGGATTTGATCAAGAGACCTCTGATTCAAGAGTAGATAAAATGGTAAAGAAGTCTGCATTTCAACTTATTTCCCTGGATGCCAAGGTTGAAGAAGTGTCAGTACCAATGCATATTACTGGTGAGTGTGTTCATGAATTATTCAGTAGACACTGCCAAAGCCCCGCCCCTTGGATACTGTTGCTAGGGATGAGGAAGTGCCAGTACCAATGCACATTGATAGTAAAAAAGTAAATCTGGACGAGCCACTAGGGCTCATGGGGCCGGAGCTTGTCCCTGGTTTCTGTAACGTGAAGCGTATGAGAGTGTAATACTCCACCTGGGTGGGATGCTGGTCCACCCCAGCTTACTCTCAGCAATTTGCTGGTACCCACTGACACTGATGGGTAAACTGACGCAATGTAGATAAAATGCCTTGCTCAAGGACACAAGCGAAACTTGCAGCAAAGAATTGAAACCCTCAAGGTTAGGAAACCAATCCATTTTCACTGTGCCAAACTGCCACCTAATGCCCATTAATGGTGAGTGTGTTTAATGAATTATTCAACGGACATATTTCAAAAACTCCACTGCCACTTGAAGATTGTTGCTACTTAGGTAGAGTAAGCATCCACCAATGCACATTAATTGTATTCAATAAATCATTTATTGAACCTTCTATTAAACCCTGCCCCTTGGATGTTGTTTCTGAAGTCCCAAAAAAGACACGAATGTAAGCATGTTGTTGCATTGGTGCATCTTCACAGTCTGATGTTTGATTGGTCATTCCTTAGGTTTGATTAATTCTTCAGATATGCTCATTAATTATTATCAACACTGTATACACAATATTTAATACTGAACTCAAACCTTTAACATAACTTTGCTAATTACATATTATTGTTTGTTTACCACAGGCAGAGCGATAGCCAGCGTTATTGCACTACATAGTGTTGTTGACACCATGCTGCGAGGAGGAAGTAAGTACTATACACACTGCTCTGGAAAAATGTAGTGAATTTTAAATGGTGCTTAAATTTGAATTATTATTATTATTATTATATATGGTAGATAATATTTCTGTGTGCAAATATTTTGGAGCAGCTCTGTAGTTAAGCCAAGCATTAAAAAAAGAAAAAAAGAAGCTGTTTGAGACCTTTGTTGTTGAGCCTCTTTTCCCATAATTTTTAAGCGACAACAAGGCATGTCAAAAACAGTGCTTATTGAATATATGTGAGCATACTCAAAGTACTGTATTACTGTATATTCTTGCATATAAGATATAGGATTAAAAAATAGGATTAAAAAAAAAAACAGGGGGTCGCCTTATATGTGCCACATACAAATAGATTTTTGAAATCATGTTTTTCTTATGTGTGGATCATCCGTAACCTGTGAATTTACTACTGCAATATGAACCTACTAAATCAGCTAATGTTAGTATGAATGAATGCAATTTTAAATGTACTGAGGTAAGATTTTGAAAAAATAAAATCCCATAAAATGGTATTATTTTGAAGATTAGCCCTACATATCATTTCATTTTATTTATTTATTCGACCATATAAACATTAAAACAGCACAATAACAACAGCTGGATGCAGTATCAACACCATAAAGAAGCAGAAAAAGTATGAATTCTGACAGTGAAACAGGGTTTCGCTTTATACACCCGACATACGTAAATCGTCCAAAAAACTTCTCGCACTTGGGGGTCGTCTTACAGTATATGCGGATCGCCTTATACACAAGTGTTTGCGATATATGACAGAGATGAACATTATATTTAAAAAAAACCCATTAACTATATGCAAGTAGAAAACAAGCTCATGTATTATGTACATGTTGTTACTGTACATTAATGATGGTGTATGATGTTGTTACTGTACATTTAATATACTGTACTATAATATATACCTATAGGTGCAGGAACAGGTTACAAAGGATTCTACCCAACAAGCTGGATAGATGCCATTGGAAGAAGCCTACAGTCTCAGCCCGATGACCTGCCTCCTAATGTCAAGGTCTATATTTATTTAATAAAAAAAAAAAAAATTAATATAAACAAATTGTAAAAAGTCTTTAATGGTTGTCAGCCCTTCATCTTCAAGTCCAGAAATTGTACCCTGTTTTTCAAAATGTTGACTTGCCTGCTTGACCTATATGGTTGTCAACGCTTCAACCCAAATTAAAAAATAAAAAAGCTGAGCAGTCAATGATGATAATAATAATAATAATTATAATGGTCGATATCAGTGATGTTTTGCCGTACCTGACCTTTTGTCGTACTGAATACTCAATAGGTTCCCAAACTTGTGATTCAGGTGGGAAATGGAACCCACAACCTCAAGATAACTAGCCTAGCGCCATAACCACTAGACTACCAAGCTTGCACTTAGTGACGAGTGTTGAATTCGATCCCCATGTAGCAGGGTTTAGTCTCATACTAACAGAGACTAGAAGTTAGATTCATCGTACGACACAATGTGTGCTTGGTTTAAGTGCGTGAATATTAATATTTAAATATTTTGGTATTTTAGGCTTGTTGGATGCTCGGTGAATACTTGAAACATGAATACCGGAACAAATACTATGCAAAAGCACAGAACATCCGTCGTTTGCTGACAGAGGACTTTGAGAAAGCCTTTGAGAAATTTGATGCAATCGCTATGCCAACTCTTCCTTTCCTACCGCCTAAGATGCCATCATCTACTTTAACAATAAAAGGTAAATATTAAATTCAGAACGTTTGATTATAGAAGATTTAGACATGCATTGTTATTATTATTATTATTATTATTATTTGTAATCATGAAATTAATTTCTTTGTATTGTAGAATACACCTCTGAAGCATTGTTTGATAATTACAATTTGCATACATTCAACGCTACAGGCCATCCTGCACTTTCCATTAACGCTGGATTTGTTGATGGTCTGCCTGTTGGCATGATGCTTGTTGGAAGAAAGTTTGATGAACATAACTTGCTGAAAGTTGCATATGCTTTCGAAAAGCTTAGGGATAAGATAGCAGCACAGTGATGAGCTGCTATTGTTGGCATTTCATTCTGTTTGATAAATGTGACAATGATTATCAATTAGGGTGTTGTTGATGTTGAAGATAATAATGGTGATCAATGGACTGATGGTGATTATAGGGATGATAATAACATTTGAACCTCCAGCATTTAAACTCTTTTGGCATATTTCCATTGTCAAGGATCATTCATGTACAATTTAGGCTCAATTTGTGTTTTTGAATTATCATGATAACAAATAATAAATTTAGTATATGGGTTGTGTTAAATATCTGACCCTTAATTTCTGAAATGTTTTTTTTTTAACATGTATAATTCCTCATGGATCATTTCTGTAAAATTTCAGCTTAGACATGATTTAAAAATCTGGCCTTTGATATTTTACTTTTAACCTTCCACCTTGCAAATATTTGTTAGTCTGAATGGTAACTTGCACTCTTTTTCTTATTACCATGACAAGCCTGGTTCAAGTCGAAGTTAAGTCACTTATCTAAATCTTGAAATATGATATGATTTTCCCTAGTTGATTTCGATGCCAAGTTAGAGCCAGATAAACAGTCAGCCAGCTTCAAGGCAGTCGACGTCACACGGTGGAAAGGCTTGCTTAATAAAACAGCTGCTGTATTTTACGAACCTCTAGTACCAAGTGGTATTTGTAAAAAAAACTGACAAAATTTGTAAACTACTTTAGATCTGGTGTCAGTTTCCACTACCTAGCCTAGCCAACCAGTACAAACCAAACGACAGTGCAGCAGCGTGTTCTATTTTAATTGCTAGCATTCTCCCATTTAACAAAATATTGTTTTAATTTTCATTAAAACGTCCTGTATACCTTATGGACCTTTCTGTCATGTTTTTTTGTAGTTTTTAGATCGCTCAATTGTGTTGTTTACATGCACTTCGCAAAAATCTAGCTTCGCAGTGTCAAATAATTTGCTGACTTCAACACATTTTTATATTTCGTCATTCTAAACATGTGCGCTCATTTTGACTGCCGTTGGTGGTAGTTCGTTGAAACTGAATTAATACTGACTATTATAGCGGAAATGGAAAAGATTAAATTGTCAATAAATAAAAAAAAATACAACAAATCCAATTTTATTATTAAGAATAATATACATTATCACTTTGAAAAATGTACGCAATCTGACTTTTTGACGTTATTTTTTGGTCGATGATACAAAGGGCAAAAGTCATTTGTAATATTGACTATTCGTAATAAAACGGATGTTTGCTGGGTTTTTACCCATAATATTACAAATAATTTCTGAAAACCAGACTAATGAGACTACTTTGCTGCTGTTGTTAGCATTGTTGGAGTACGTTGTTGCCAGCCAGACGACAATAGTGGTATAACACAACGCTGGTTAAGATGCCTACGTTACGTAATCGTGTCCTTGTAATCCGAGCCGATTTTACCGTTAAGCAAGTTAATTTACCATTATTCTAGTGAAGTAAAGTCACTTAACTACAGAGTTTAGAGAATAACTTCTATGCGATTAGAATATTTTAGTTTAAAATTTGATCTGAATGGGACCATGTTGAAAATCTGAACTTTGACTACTAAATGAACTTTAACCTCAGTCGTATGAACATCTTTATATTTTGGTCAGTGATGCTATTGCCAATGTACAGTATTTAGTTAAAATTTGTTTGAGAAGCTGATATGATCGCTTGTGCTGAGCGCCAGGGTTGGCTGTTACAATTTATTTTCCAGGTTTGCCCTCTTTTTTGAGAGAAGGCAATTAATCGGCTTATCCGGGTAAATATGAACTCATTGAACACTAAATTACATTTGACCTAAATCCCGTAAATGGAATTGGTCAGTGTGTA